CTGAGGGAGGAGTACTGACCAGCTGAGGGAGTACTGACCAGCTGAGGACCATAGGCACAGGAAGCCCACAGGAGCTCCTTGACGTGGACGAGAGCAGTTTTCTGACAGGAGCATCGAGTACGGCAGAAGGGTCACTCAGAGATGTGAAAGTCTCTTTCGTTAGTCTATTTTAATCGCTGTGACAGAATTTTGAAGCAAATCAAAGGAGAAATAACTATTGGGTTTACAGTTGCAGGGGAGTTGGCCCAGGGCCATCCGTCCGCTATCATCACTTTGGGGCTGTGGTGAGAGAAGACACTGTCTGCAGGAGTGTGGGCGAGAGGGAGGAGGCTGCTCATCCTGGGGCTGTCAGGAAGCAGACAGGGAGGCTTTGAGGACAAGATAACATCCTTCAAAGCATCATGCCCCAGGGATCGTTATTGCTGTTTTTGCTCTTCACTTTTACTCTTTGGAGACCTGCGACTGAAGTCCCCAGTAAATCACACAGAGTCTTAATCTTACTGATAAATGCCGGGCCTTGGCTTATTTCTAGCCAGTTTTTCTTAACTTAAATTATCCCATTTATCTTTGCCTTTGGGCTTTTACCTTTCTCTTTCTTTATATCTTTTCTTTTCTTCTTACCCCATGACTGACTGTGGTGGCTGTGTGGCTGGCCCCTGGAGTCTGCTTTCTCTTGCTCCTAGGTCCTCTTGCTTCTTCTTTTCTCCTCTTTATACTCTCTGCCTGCCAGCCCCGCCTATCTTTTTTTCCTGACTTGCTATTGGCCACTTAGCTCTTAATTAAATCAATCAAGTGTTCTAGACAGGCAAGGTAACACAGCTTCACACAGTTAAACAAATGCAACATAAAAGAATACATCACATCTTTACATCATTAAACAAATATTCCACAGCATAAAAAATGTACCACATCTTAAAATAATATTCCACAACAAATCTCAGCACATCTGAGTTCAAGATTAGCCTGAGTCATGTAATGAGATCCTATCTCAAGAATAATCAAAGGGGCACATCCTCAATTAACCCACTTCATTAACAACCCAATCAATATGAACTAATACATAGATCAGTCCTCTGTCAAAATCTAGCATCCTTTTGATCCAATCACTTATCAGTACAGCCACCAGCTTGCACCTACACCTTTAAAACCAGAACCTTTGGGGTGGGGTAGGTGGGAGGGGTCAGAGTCACAGCACTGAAGAATTACAACCTCTAAGACAAACTCAGTAGCAATGTTATAAATATGTTCCCAGGATATTTTTCAGGCTTCCATTTGCCAGCATAGTGTGCTCCAGCCATTCAGTGACGAGGTCCATGGCTCTGCATATAGGCTGTGGGTTTTCTGACACCACTGGGTCCTATTGGACAGCACTGTGTACCAGCCCTCTGGCTAGTTTTCCAACAAAGAGTTAGTTATAAATTACTATTGTATTTTGATTTTTGCTAGTTTTGTTGTATTGTTAAATTTTGTATGTGTATGTGTGTGGGTATGTGCGCGTGGGTACAGATGCCCGCTGAAGCCAGAAGAGAGTTTGCGATCCCCAGGAAGTGTAGTTATATGCAGTAGGAAATCATCTAGCGTGGGTGCTGGGAACCACACTTGGGTCCTCTGGAAGAGTACTGCTTCCAGGACCACATTAACTGCGACTGTATTAAGACAGCATTCGGATACTGGGTCTGTACCATCACCATTAGACAGCAGTTCTGCCACACCCGACGGTCATCTGCTGACAGGAGCTCAAACGCTGAGTCGTTAGTTCTCTGGATGCCTGGTATAAGATCCAGCATGCCAGAGCGGGGTAAATAGATCCCCTGAAAACACAAGCAAAGTCTGGTAGCTCAGCCAGGTTTTGTGGAAGTCTACAATCTGGTGCACTTGGGGATAGTAATGATGTCTCCTTCATAATGAAGGTCAAATTGTATACTTTGTTCCTCTTATTAGTGAAGGGGACCCTTGGTGTTTGGTGGACTCTTTTGACAGAATTTGGCCAGGTAGCCCAGTCTGACCTCAAATTTGCATCCTTCTGACTCTGCCTTTGTCTTCCATATGCTGGGATTCTAGACCTGTATAGCTCAATAGTTGGGCTATTTGATGGACTTTAGAAAAATTTGTCCACATTGCTAAACCCATTCATGGATTGATCCAAACGCCTCTAGCTTTGACTGGCCATGGACAGAGAGGGGTCCCTTAGGTGATGATTTACTGCGGTGTTTTTCCACATGAGCCTTATGAAGGAGAAATAAATTGATTGAGTTTCTGTGACAAATCAGGATTCTGCATAAAACCTGGATTTTGGAGTAAAATGTCCCTTCAGGATATAACTATATTATAGATTTACAATAGGGCACTTGCATTGCAGTAAAAGCAAAAACAAACAAACAAAAGCTGTGAATTCTTGAATTGACACACTAGGAGTCCCTTTGAGTTTTGATCTCCTGGCTTAGGTGGTACATGCGCAGTTGCTTGAGAACTCAATCTCACAGGTAACATGCTTGCCTTGGAGCAGTACCTTCAAGGTCCCTCATGGCCTGCCAGCTAAGGTACCCTCTGCTACTCATCCAAGAGTCTTCAGCTTTTAGTGAAGATTTAATATATCGATAAATAACGGAAGACAAATACACTTGAGAAAATGCTTAACTCAGTAGACTTCAAGGAGATCTTGATTGTTATGAACAAGTATTCTTCCCAAATAGCCATTTAAAGATTTTAACTTAGGATATTATTAGCAGCTGAGGAGCTGCTGAGAAGCTGGGCATTTAGGGGACCAGAGGTGCTTCTGGTAGCAGGAATGCAAAAGTACTTCTCCCTGGGGCTGGAGCTGGCTGATTCCAGTTACTTCTCTGAACCGTACAGAAGTAGGGACTGTTCCCAAAACCATGTGTGCATGAGCGAGGTTGGTGTGTATTCCTGTTGCTTTGGGCACACACAACAGCCGTGTGCTGTGGGCTTTGAATGAGATCTTATGTATGTGTGTGTATATATATATATATATACACATATATATGTATATATATATATATGTATGTATACATGCATGTGCAAGCACACATTTTAATATAAAATCTGAACCTCTAACAACTGTTGGTAACACCCTAAAGTTCTGTTCAGTGCTAATGCTAATACTAGCCATATTAGAACAGAATACTGAAAAAGTTCTTAGAAGTAGCTCCAGAGGCAGTCATGAGTTCATAGGCTTGAATGTATTCTGCTCATTGAATTATGTAATAATCAAGTTTTGTTCCATATTCTACTCCTTAAGTTGTTTATTTTCTGGGAAACCATTTTTGATAACTTAATTGTAGGAGAAGTCCTCTGTGGGTCAGCCGTATAGCACGGTCTCATTTCAAAGGACAAAGGGTTAATAGAGTTTAAAAGGGCCTAAAATTTGTGAATGTTGCTTTAATGATTGGTAGTTAAAGGAGATAGGTATTGTGTGTTTAGTTTTGACAAACATGGAGAGATTGTTTGGAGATGTTAAGTCCTGTTTCTTCCTCCTCTATGTAGGTAAGGTGTGAGGCCCCAGCTTGGGTTCCGTTGGCATAAAAAGGGGTTGAAAAATAAGTGGGGAGCTAAGGTCTTTCCAGACAGGGCATCGCCAGAGCTTTCATGGACTGACTTGTGCCTTGAGAAGACTCCTACTGAGCTACACAATGGAACCAGTTTTACAGCCTCATGGGCACAGGGGACTCTGAGGAGGCTCTCCTCAGCCCAAGGGCTTGAGCTTCCATCCTGGACAGACAGCAGGTGTGAAGGTACTGGCTCCTCAGAGGCTTCTTCAGGTTTCTCAATGCATACAGCATTGGCAGCTGTGATGTTCCATGGGGAGTGGGGGTATTCCTCTGCATGTCACTAAATCCTGCCAGTTTGGCATCCTGAAGAGACCAAGTGTCAGCCTGAGACCCAGCAGGAGGATGGAATTCTCTTCAGGAAAGGAGTGTGATGGTTGAGACAGAGGGAGGGGAAGAGCCTCTAGCACATAGGAGATGTCTGGGAATTCTTGGGCTAGACACTTAGCGACAAAATGATTGAGAAAAGCTACTTTAGTGAGACTCTTTACAATGTTTTATGTATATGAGTGTTTGCTCTGCATGTATGTCTGTGCACCATGTGTGTGACTGGTGTCCTCAGAGGCCAAAGAGGGCACCAGGTACCCTGGAACTGGAGTTACAGTTGTGAGCCACCGTTTAGGTGTTAAGATTTGAACCTAGGTCTTCTGGAAGAGCAGCCGCCGCTCTTGATCTTTCTTTCTCTCAGCCCCTTATTAGGGGTTTTAAAAATTATTCAACTCTCATTTTGGAAAGGGCTGGTGGAGCTTTAGACTTACCACTGAAATGTAGTTTGACTTTTCCCCAAAGGTGATGGTATAATTCTTAGTTCCCTCTCCCTTTTGCTGTTTAAATGATTCTGGTATCTGAGCACTAATTCTGTGTATGTGCCCGAGACCTTATGGCAAGCTCAGCTGTTGCTGAAACTCTTCATTAAGGGCTTTTAAAGTAAGAAATGCACTAAATAGGTGCTCCTCTCAGTTTACCTGTGATTTAGAATTCATTTCCAGTGATGAGCTGGCATATCACCTCTGTGCCGGTGTTGTGGAGCTATGTCTCAGATTTATGAATCTATATCTGCAGTCTGGCTTTTGACATGAACTGTAGGGTTTGGGGCTTCATTTATTTATTTGTGTGTGGGTATGGGTGTCTTTCCTGCATATGTCTGTGTACCACATGTGAGCCCAGTGCCCAAGGAGGCCAGAAGAGGGCGTCAGATCCAGTGGAACTGGAGTTACAGATGGCAGTGGCCTCCTGAAGAGCAGCCAGTGCTCTTAACTTCTGAGCTTCTCTAGCTTGGCTTTGGACTTGTTGAGTCAAGTTTCTCTGATTAAATAGACTGTTTTATTAATTTATAACGAAATGGTATTCAAGTGTGACTTTACACAGCAAGCTGGAAACAACATCACAGTTACATTGATAAATTCTAGAGCAAGTTTTCACCCGGAATTCTATAGAGCCATTGGCCTTTTTATTTTGGTCTTATTAACATAAATACTTAGTACAATTACAAGCATCGGCATTTTAATGGAGTCCTAGGACTCTGAACTTTTGCTTTCAATACCAAATAGTATCTGAAAAACATGCTCACTTTTGTGTTTTCTGAGAAACTCTAGGAACTGGCCCAGGTTCATGTGATAATCATTCCTCAGTCCGTAGTCGCCATGGGCCTCAAGGAGTAATTCTTCAAAAGAATGGAAGAGGCGCAGGTCTTCCCCGTTCCCCTCTGTTTCCACGCTCTCGGCGTGCTTGCAGGAAATGTGCTTCCAATTGGGGTATCTGATTGTGTGCCAGAATTCCTCACAGTGATCCTTGAAGCCCTCCACACAGATTATGCCAGGCTTTCCCGTCATGCAAAATCCAGTCACATCTAACCTTTTCCCCACTTCCAGAATCTTTTTCCTTAGGTCCTGCTGATAAATGTGGTGGCTGTAGATCCACATCCGGAGGAACGTGTTCTTGACCGGCTTTGCTTGTGTGCATGGCTCACCCGACAGCTTTCTGTTGAGGAAGTAGGATGCGCTGTTGTCCTGCAACCACTGGATGGCTGCGCAGACACACAGCTCACCCGGATCAAAGGTCCGCAGATAGGCAGTGAGACCTTGGTTGAGAAGAAGCTGCTGTTGTCTGTCAAGCTCAGGTGACCGTCCAAACAGCTGCAAAGCCACGTAGGGGTAGCTGTGAGGCATGGTTACTTGCAAATCAATTGTCACCTTAAAATAAAAACCACATAGATTTCAGTACCACAGAACCACATGAGCCAGCTTATCACGGCAACAGCACGGCTATGACAGGACACAGTCACGGGGGTTATCAAGTGCCAGCTACAAGTTACGCAGTCATTTTTGTTATTTTTCAAATCATTGCTGAACTACATGTGCCAGGTGCCCTGTGCTGGAGAAGGAAGGGATAAAGTCAGACATGATTTCTGCCTTAGACTAGAGCCCAGTGAAGGAGACACACGCTAAACAATGACCACACATAGATTTAATTTGAATTTGAGAAGCAGAATTTACCATGGGAAAAGTTCAAGGTCCCATTGAAGTGTGTAATCAATGATATAAAAATCAAGTCTGGGAACCAGTAGCCGGCTCTGAAGCATGAGCAGGTGGGAGCTAAAACATTAGTTCTCAAGTGTCCAGTCCACATGGTACCTATACTACACATGCTAATACTCCTGGGGATAAAGGGATCAGAAGATGGGGGTAAGGTTATATTTAACATTTAGATTTTGTATTTGTAGTTACTCTCTACAGTCAGTGCCATCAACACCATCCTAAACACTAACTTCTGAGAAGCCTCTTTGTAGCAGGCAGCATTTAGGTTTGTGAAAATCGTGGTATCTGCAGAAGGCACATTCTAACAGTTGGGTTGGTAAGAAACTGAATGAGGAGACAGAAGAACAATAAGACTGCAGGATATTTTCACCGAAAACAGTAGGCATGTTTGTTAAAGAGGTATGTGTATTTATGTAAAATTCAGGATTGTTACTTAGAGAACTTAAGTAGCTCCTCGAGTTTGGTACCTTTTCCTTCCTTCCAAACAAGTAATGGGATATGTATTTGGAACTGTCTATTTGATTCTTGGATAGGAAGCTCATGCACTGGGCTTTCAGTTAAAAAGTGGGCACTTGGGGATGGAGATGGCTCAGCACTGGCTGCTCTTCTAGAGGGCCCAGGTTGGAGTCTAAATACCCACGTGATGTCTCACAATCTTCTGTGACTCCAGTACCGCCCTCCTTTGGCTTCCGTGCATGCTCATGGCTAAACACCTATACCATACACATTAAAAATACACAAAAACAATGGGCACCCAGAAACACGTAGAAAAAAATGAAAGCACCCACCTTGGGCTCCTCAATTTGGAGCGTGATCACAAATTCGATGTTGTGTGGGAGCGCCTCCCTAGTGCCTTCCAGATACCTCTTTATGTTCGTTAGGGCGTTTACATCTTCCAGTTTTACCTCTCCTTGGTTAGGAAACATAGAAAACAGCATTTCCATCTCCAGCAGCTGAAGCTGAAGGCTTTCTTTTACCGACGCTGACATGTCTCCAAATCAACCTGCTTGGAAACCTGCAAAGGCCCAGAAACAGTGCGTTTGTTAATGACACCTGGTGTCCAGAAAATTTTCCCAAGGTCCCCTTTCTAGGAGGCAATTCCTGTTTGCAGAGAGCTAGGGACACGCACCCAGACACTTAAACTGTTCAGATTTCTCTCCTGAGCCCCAAATCTAATATGCACAACATCCTGCTAAAATGCTCTGTCAACACCTAGATTCTCTCTTCCCCACCCTTGCCGTCATTCTGGAGTCTGCGCTTTCAACAGGTGATTGGATGACACGTTTCGCGGCAGGTGGTTGCAAACACCTGTATACTCCAGGCCAGCCTCAATCCTGGGAAAAGCAGGGGCCGGCCCAGGAATCCTGCTCGGATCTCAGGCCTGCGTAGGGCTGGAGGCGGCGAGGAGAGATGTTTGGAGAGCGGAGAGAGAGAAGGGGCTCTGGGTCGTCCCCGCTGCCCGCTGCCAGCCCTCATCCGCAGACCCTTGGAGGACAGCCCACCCGGACTGCAGTGGCATGCAGCGTTTCGCGCAGGTGCATAGGGCCTCCTTGGCCTAGTCACGGAGCTGGGGGAGGGGGTCTCAGCCACTCAATAAATGACGTCTAGGGTCGAGGGGGTGAGGACCCAAAGGGATGGCGCTACCCTCGCCTTTCAGGGGCTGGGCTGGGAGGTGACCTCGGTGTGGTCGGAGGGACAGCAGTGCTCCCCGCCCTCTGGGGACCCCTGCCCTTCGAGGCCTAGGCTGGGAGGCGCAGCGGCCCACCCCGGGTGCTAACCCTCGGCCCGCCTCGGCCACCGCGGCCTCACCCTTCCAGCTCACTCAAGCCAAGCAGCCCCTGAACCCGCTCCGAACCGCAGCCGCAGTTCCGCGGGCGCGAGCAGCGCGCGGATGGCTGGGGGCGGGGCCTGGCGCATGGGGCGGGGCCAGGATATCCAACCCGCCGCAATTGGCTGGGGCGGGAGCCCGGAGGAGGGGCGGGGACATCAGACCCTCCCCACCGCGATTGGCCGGAGGGCGGGGCGTCGGGCCGGAAGCCAGGCTGGGCCACGTCTTCAGGATCTGAGTAAACTGGTTTGGTGCGCAGTGCGTGGCGGCTGCTCGAATGTGGAGAGTGCGTTTCTGCTCCGGAACTAGGTGAGCGGACTTGGAGGCTGTCGGGCCGCTGTGGGTGGGGGTTCCTGGACAGCCATGGCTGGGGGGGATCGCCCGATACACCTACCCACTGCTCAGTGCGGCCCAGGTCCCTGCCGACCTCACGCTGGAGGGCTGGGGAGCCGCGGGTAATCGGGAGCTGGGAGCAGAATGTACTACCGAGGATAGCAGGATGAATGAAAGAAACGGGCTTCGCTGTTTGCTCTTATAGCTTGGACACTGTTGAGCTTTTAATAACCATTTCCATACCTATTGAAATTAGTTCTAGAACTCCAAACGCATTAAAGGGTGGAAGCGTGCTGTTATATGACTGTTATTTTCCTTTGAGAGAGTTCTGGATTTCATGGGCGTGGTTGACACCCTTGTGAGTAATCGTGATACATTTCCTACTGGTCAATTTTTACAAAAATATACTCGTTCTTGTGAACAAAAGTTTGATTACTTTGGAACGGACTAAATTAGCTTGGAAAGGACCGATTTTACAAATCATGTAGAAGCAAACATTTTTCGGCATTTCTTGTGGTGTTGTGCATTGAAGCAAGGAAGGACAATAAAACAAGGAGTGTGGTTGTTAGCTGAAGGACAGCTACTCTGGGCTACCTAGGATAGAATTGACCCAGGAAGTGCACAGTCTACGAATCTGCACACACCCTGCTGACTGAGGCAGAAAACCTCAAATTAATTGGACGTTTCTCAGAGTATTAGGGGGATCAGGGCCCACGCTTGGGCAGCATTGTGCAGATGTGAGTAGTTTTAGACGTAAATTTAGAAGATTGCTGTGACTGTCTTTATGAATAAATTAGAGAGTCGCCTTGGAGATGTCCTGGCTGATCTTGGAGGTCTTTTTTTTTTTTTTTTTGGTTTTTCGAGACAGGGTTTCTCTGTAGCTTTGGTGCCTGTCCTGGAGCTAGCTCTTGTAGACCAGGCTGGCCTCGAACTCACAAAGATCCGCCCGCCTCTGCCTCCCGAGTGCTGGGATTAAAGGCGTGCGCCACCACCGCCCGGCAATCTTGGAGGTCTTATACAAGAGGAAATGGTTGCACTTTGCTTTTCTTTTGGGATGGTTTCTCTCTAGTTTGGGAGGAGTAGTGAGCGAGCCACATGGATTTCCCAGGCATTTGGAGGTTTCAGCCCTTTGCGGATCTGACCTTCAGCCTCGGTCTTTCACTGGCCTCACACCAGACTTTATATTATTAACTGGGGCTCACACCTAAGTTGACCCCTTTGTAAGGTAAGATGATCTTTGATCTTCTAGGAGTCTCTGAATATAGATATAGAAGTCATTATTTTAGAAAAATTCATCCTAGAGGCCAACGGGGAGAGGAGTGGACAAGCTGATTTCTCTTTTGGAGTGCACAGTTTAGGCAGGAGCTTCTAGTTAATTCTAACTCTGGGGATTCCTCCCTCCCCCTCCTCACCCCAATGTGTTTCTTTGGAGAGGGTCCCAGTGAAACAGGCGTGTTACTTTGTGCTGGCAGTTTGGAAGCAAATGGTCCTTGAAAGCTTTTTGTTCATAATAATATTTCTTACTTTTGCAGACATGGATCTAGAGGCCGTTTCTAAACGCTCAGCATTCCATGCCAAGCCCCAGGGGCTCATTCTCCACTATGGGACTGCTGGGTTTCGGACAAATGCCCAGCATCTCGATCATATCATGTTTCGAATGGGATTACTAGCTGTCCTGAGGTCAAAGCAGACAAAATCCACCATTGGAGTCATGGTTACGGCCTCACACAATCCTGAGGTAACAAGTTGGTGTGCTTATTTACAAGACTACAGCCCGAGTGTCTGAGCACTTTGAACCAAAGTCCACATTCTAAGGCCTCCTAATTTGTATGGTCCTCTGGGTTTGAAGCAACTCTCTCCTAACAATTGTCCGGCTGAATTGGGTGTGGAGGGAATGAAATGAGGTTATTTTTTTGGAAAGTGTCCAGAGTAGAGAAGTAACAGAATGTCCTTCCAAGTTTGGATGGAGACATTATCAGTCATGATAGTGTCACAAGGAACTGAAGAGGTAATGCAGGGGAACTGTTGTAAGAGCCCACTTGTTTGTCCTTGGCTGCTCAGCCCTGAAATAATCACACAGAAACTGTATTAATTAAATCACTGCTTGGCCCATTAGCTCTAGCTTTGTAGTGGCTAACTCTTATATCTTAATTTAACCCGTCTCCATTAATCTGTGCATCACCACGAGATTGTGGCCCACCAGCCAAGTTTCAGCATGTCTGTCTGGTGGAGGATCCATGGTGTCTCCTGACTCAGCCTTCTTTCTCCCAGAATTTTGTTTAGTGTTTGCCGCCTAGCTAAGTTCTGCCCTGATCTAGGTCTAAAGCCATTTCTTTATTCATTAATGGTAATCACAGAATACAGAGGGGAATCCCACATCACGTCTCCTTTTCTGTTTAAATAAAAAGGAAGGTTTTAACTTTAACAAAGAAAAATTACATATAACAAAACAGTTATCAAGCAAGAATTACAGTTACAATATTTATATCTACTTTCTATCTATTCTTCAACTCCATCAAAGACTCCAGAAGGATATAATATTACCTAGGTAAAGAGGAGGTCCATTGTAATCATTTCCTAAAACTCTAGAATTGACAGAGACATCTTGCTGCCTGGAGAGTCACCCAAAGTTCTTCTATACTGTTGGAGCATCCATCTTTAGCCTACAGGCTTGTAGTATTCAGCAGACTTTTCCATGAAGCAGGAAATTTGAAGATCTGTTCTGCCTTATAATGGCAAAGTCCATCAGTTACTTTTTTCTGTGTCCTGCAGAATGTCTGGCAGACTCTTTTATGTAATAGGAACCCCGAAGGACCATCTCACCTTTAGGCAAGTTCAGCAGTCATTTCTCTGTGGGTCCTGCATGTCCAGTTCATATAGCATACCATCAAGAAGTTCAGGCAAGAGTGGTTTCTTGCCCAAATGGCTAGCAAACTCCATAAGGAGCCTCTTTGATACCCATCATCCTCTTGAAGTAGACTGGTGCTGCCAGGAGCAGAAATGTCTCATTGTCATGAAAAGTCCAAGTTCTTAAAACATTTTAAATGCCATATTCTGAAGGTCTCTGAAAGATTTGACTAAAATATATCTTTATATATCTAAAAACTTAACTAACATGACTACAAGCTTGACTATTACAGATGATTATCTATTAGCCTATATTTCTTGATTATACATTTTTAAGTAAACTGCACAATCACAATATCTTAGGAGCAGAAATATATATCAGTAGACCAAGATCCATACCAATGCAAATTATTCATTTCTATATCATATCCCTCTTTAAATGTAAATAAACATTTATAAACAATTTTTGAGGGTGTGTGGGGCAACCTTTCGGGGGGGGAGTCTTGGTTCATCAAACCACATTAGTCTGGAATTAGTCCACAGGTTCTCATTTTCTGTGGAAACAAAAGAAGAACCTCTTTTCCAAACAACAAATCCTTAGACCCATATTTTGAAATCAAGATACTTTTAAGGTATATATGTTGGCTTGACTTAGCAGTCCCCAGTATCAGATGCCTCTCTGCAGTCAAAAAATTCAAAGAAAACGCAATAGTATACATAATCCAGACTCTTTGTGTATATTCCATCTTTATGTGGCGTATTCTTTCTTTATTCCTTTTAATCTTGGACTGTCTGTACTCTGTCTCTTTAAAGAATTTACCATTTTTTTAGAACCATTTACTTCTTTTTATAACTGTCTATAAACCTTTACTTCTCTCCCCTAAGCCTACGTATTTATCCAACAGTGTGTCTCCTTTAGAGGTCTTTTCTATCTGAATGTGTTTTTATTGTGTATTTATAATTATTTTCTGACCAGGACTGCTTCTTAAAATGCTAAGTGCTTTTCTAAAAAAACTAAGCTGTGGTGTTGCTAGAGCAAATACGGCACTGCTTGCTTGCTGTCCAGCATGGTGGAACTGTCTCCTGCCTCTGAGAGCCATGTACATTGCCCCATTTTCAGGCGCACAGCCGGTCTATGTTGCCATTAAGCCAGTTGTCACACTCTGCTCATAAACCCCATTTAAATGCTCCATAGCCAGATCTCTCGAAAGACTCAGAGTTTGTGATGGCAGCACGGCCCAGGGAGCCACAGCTGCATGGCTTTTTTTTTCCTGCTACCTCTGAATCAAGAAAACCTCTCTTAAAGGAGCCATGCCTCTGCTTGCTTATAGCAAACAGAGCCCACCCAAGAAAATGCTGCTACCAAGCCATGTTTAATTCTATTCTTTTGTGTCTAGGATTTATTTTTAAGCTTTTAGATTTTACGTGAATGTAGTTAGCACATGTTGGAGCGCCAATCTGTAGTTTTCCCCGTCTAGGTAAGTTCTGCCCTGCTATAGGTCCAAAGCAGTTTCTTTATTCATTAACGGTAATCACAGCATACAGAGGGGAATTCCACATCAGGGAAACACCTGTTGGTGCCTGGCATTGGTGCCAGTGGTCCCCAAGGCAGCTGCTCAGCCGTCAGTTGGAGGGATGACAGCAAAGGTTCTTCCTCTAGTCACTTCCATTCTGGGCTCCCCTTAAGGTTTGTTTCTCTTTTAGGAAGACAATGGTGTGAAACTGATTGATCCGATGGGGGAAATGTTGGCCCCTTCCTGGGAGGAGCATGCTACCTGTCTGGCCAGTGCTGAGGAGCAGGATATGCCTCAAGTGCTTACCGCCATCGTGGAGAAAGAAGCCGTGGATCTGCAGCAGCCTGCCTTCGTAGT